TTGGGGAGGGGGGTATGGGGCCTTCTTTGTGTGCACTGAGGGAGCGCCATCTGAGGGGCTGGGGATGCCTCCCCCTGCCCCGCGTTTACTTGCAGAAGGGGCCTTTGGGGCCTCTCCTACACCTTTGTCTCTGTTTGGCAGGGGGCTGGAACTGTTATCCCTTGAGTTAATGCTGCATCCTTGCATCTTTGACACGTTACCCCTTTCCCCTGTACTGTGTAGGAGGCCTCAGGGCCTGGACTGTGCCCTTTAGTGAGGCTGCTACTTGTGACCACCACCCCCGGAGCACGGAACAGGCTGCTGGGTGGTCACACTGCCCTCCTACGCGTGTTCTGGGGTTGTAGGCTGGGGCATTATTATTCTTAAGCATGTTTTTAGGGTTGAGGTTACCCTCCCTTTCCTCCCTGCTTTCTGGCCCCACTGCTTTGAAAGGGAGCAGGAATTTCTAAGGGGTTTTACCCTAAACGGGTGCAGTAAGTGAGACCTCAGCCTGCCTCTGCTCGTAGGCACCGTTTTGCGTTGTGGCATCTCTGATCCTGCTATCTCTGTACTGTCTTCTCAATGACCTTAGGCTTTTCAGGGAAGAGGTAATAATAATAATAATGCAAACAATCCTGGGCATAAGCCTGAGAGGCTGAGAACACACCTCTGTAGCAAGAGTGTTTTGAATTACTTTGTCAGGGTTGCTGCAAGCCCAAATCCTGTTGTAGCAGTAGGTTATGGCTTTAAGGCAGAAAATTCACCTGCGCTCCCTGTGCCTGCCTTATCCTCCCCACAAAGTGGCAATCCTTCCTGCTGGCGTTAGCAGCGATCACGAACTGTTAGTGGGAAGGAGGCTGTGTCTGGGGAATCAACAGAAAGGCACAGCTCTCCCTTTTGAGGTGTGTCCTTGCTTACCCCAGTGCCCGGACTGTGAGACTGCACTGTTGACAGTCACCTGCGTTCAAGGGTTATAGATACTTCTGCCTTGGTTCATAGAAGCGTTTTCAGTGATGTAAACATCGAAACAGTGAATTACTAGGCTCAAAAACTGTGGGTTAGTCTGCAAGCAAAGCTGCTTCTTGTTAGTTATTATTCTTCAGACTCAATTTACACGTGCCTTTATTGCAGTGGAGCAATTTTATTTAGTGAAACAGTCACCTTTTACTAAAATAAATTGATGATGTTTACAAGTTGTGTGTACTTATGTCACTAAAAAAAAATAAAAAATGCTCAAAGCAGCCTGTGCAGCAATTGCTTATACTGGTGCAATTGTCTTTATTTTCTATAATACCATCCCCATTAGAGAGTCTTCTATGGTCTGATATTATGGTTGAAATGGAGCAGTTTATGCAGACTAATCCTAAGTGAAACCTGTGCAGCAGACTGTGTCCAGATTTATTTCAGCCTATCTTCAAGCAATTAAGAGCAGGTTGAAGTAAGTTATGCTTTCAAGGAAGTAGATGTGTGCCGAGTTAGCTAAATTGGTGTTTGTTTCAAGATAGACTTATTTGCAGTACATGAAATGCTTTTTGATCTCTTTCAGTATTGTCTTTTGCTGCTGGAATTGAAGGGGATGAGTTTTCTGTTTGATTTGGGCTTAAAAGGAGAGATCTTTGGGGTAGGAGTTCATCGCATAATTTTATTTTTTGGGAGCTTTCTGTTTTGTAGTTATTCTGTATAAAGTTGAGTGGACTTCAGTGAGCCCAGTCACGCTGCGGGTGTCTACCTGGAAGAAGTTGTAGTCGAAAGAACCAAACTGGTTATT